TGCACCTGTGTCTTAGATCTTTGAGATCAGCTCATGAAAAATGGGGGCAAAAACAAAAGTGTTGCGTTTATAATTTTGTTCAGTGTATATACAGCGTCCTCATTAGCGGCTTACGTATAACGACCCATTAAAACGACCACTAATGAGGCATCTATGTATATATATATATATATATATATATATATATATAAATGAGGATAGCGCGGATATTACGTCATTGATATGCGTAAGTACACAACGGCATGAAATATATCACACTGTGCAAGTGTTTTTTGAGTATTTTATTACAAAAATATTACATATTATGCCTTTAAAGCAACTTTCAATTAAAAACTAGCCAAGGTTAGGATTTTCTAAACTTAGGTCAATGAAAGTCCCACTAGCCAGGAAGTCAAGAGATTCATCAATCCTTGGGAGGGGATAGGAGTCTTTGACAGTGAGCTTAATGAGTGCACGATAATCGACACAGAACCTTGGCTCTCCTGGATGTTTTGGGACAATTACAACTGGGTTAGCGGTAGGGGCTGATTAGGCATCTGCATACGGCCCAAAATGCCCCTCAGGACACGTTCTTGATTGTCCGAAGGCACAAAGAAAGACTGTCCTAAAAAACTCACTGAACTGATTCCAAGTGGTCAAATTTGTGGTAAGTTGCCAAGTGCTGCAAACCGGTTTCCATGATCCAAGGAGGTCCTGTACACATTTAGTGACTGAAGCCATTCCTCAGGATTCAGGGAACCATCTGCAGCGAACACGGATGTCTCGAGCCATGATTGGTGAAGAATAGGAGTAAGTGCATTTGTTGTGGCATTCATATCCACAGTGAGTGGCTGAGCAAATGTGGGTGCATTACTATAAGCTACATTGACTGGCACTGACCTTGGGGCCGTCGACCCTCCATCATGTCTTTTTGTAGGTCAATCGAGTCGTGAAGGCACCGCTGCAGTACTGCCACCTCTGCTTGCAACTGCTTGACTTGAGTCAAGTCACCTTCATTTATGTAGTAACAGAGATTGCTTTGGGTTTACAGCAGCTCTAGAACAAAGTTATTGTCCAGCTAAAGTTAGTTTTGATTGATTCATTCATTTCCATTGCAAAGATCATTAGTTATTAAATTAGGGGGCGATAACACGACACAGTTCTAACAGAAAACTCTCAACATGATGTATCCACACAAAACAGTGCTTGAGAACGCAAACCCTGAAATGGTTCTCTTCCTATTTGAAAGATAAGACTTTTTCAGTCAGTTTAGTGGATTATTCTTCTACTGTGTGTGGGGTTCCGCAGGGCTCTATACTGGGACCAATTTCATTTTTCCTTTATATGCTCCCTCTAGGTTCTATTTTTGAGAAATTTGGGATTCAGTATCATCTGTATGCAGATGATCTTCAAATTTATTTACCACTGAAACATGGTCATAAATGTGTCATTCAGTGTCATTCAGAATGTGTAACTGACGTTAAGTGCTAACTGGCGAATAACTTTTTACAATTAAATGAGGATAAGACCGAGATGAATTTATTTGGAAATAAGGAGTGTGTGGAGGATGACGGCCTGGAGTCCTTGGAAAAAAAAAACGTCTAGTGTGAGAAACTCCAACACAGGTGTAACTCCACAGTCATCATCACGTCACTCACCCTAACTCCATCCTGCGGACAAACAGAGGAAAAAACCAACGACCCACAAATATGACCCTGTTTGTTCATAACAAAGAGACGCCACCCAAAAAGGAGAACAGAATTCTCCTAAGTTTTCAATCTTTCTCATAATACCAATGACTGCAATGAAATTGAGGCTATTTTATGATACCAAACATGAAAGGGAATAAACAATAAATTCACAAGATACAACATATGTGATATATAGACATTCTCAGTGAACTTTTAGTGACTTGAATCAGGGGGAAAGGAAGGGAGTAGGGAGAGGGGGATGCAGAGATCAGAAGGAGACAAGTTTGGACAAGACAATGTCGTTTGCTCTTTCTTTGAGGTCTTCTCTGCAGGGGTGCGCTTTATTACAGGGTGTGTTTTAACTCTGCTTTTGTCTTAGCAGGAAAATCAAGTCTTACATATTTCACATGTATTTAATGACATTTTTTGAAAACCACCTTCAATAAAATGCACCTGTGTCTTAGATCTTTGAGATCAGCTCATGAAAAATGGGGGCAAAAACAAAAGTGTTGCGTTTATAATTTTGTTCAGTGTATATACAGCGTCCTCATTAGCGGCTTACGTATAACGGCCCATTAAAACGACCACTAATGAGGCATCTATGTTTATATATATATATATATATATATATATATATATATATATATATATAAATGAGGATAGCGCGGATATTACGTCATTGATATGCGTAAGTACACAACGGCATGAAATATATCATACTGTGCAAGTGTTTTTTGAGTATTTTATTACAAAAATATTACATATTATGCCTTTAAAGCAACTTTCAATTAAAAACTAGCCAAGGTTAGGATTTTCTAAACTTAGGTCAATGAAAGTCCCACTAGCCAGGAAGTCAAGAGATTCATCAATCCTTGGGAGGGGATACGAGTCTTTGACAGTGAGCTTAATGAGTGCATGATAATCGACACAGAACCTTGGCTCTCCTGGATGTTTTGGGACAATTACAACTGGGTTAGCGGTAGGGGCTGATTAGGCATCTGCATACGGCCCAAAATGCCCCTCAGGACACGTTCTTGATTGTCCGAAGGCACAAAGAAAGACTGTCCTAAAAAACTCACTGAACTGATTCCAAGTGGTCAAATTTGTGGTAAGTTGCCAAGTGCTGCAAACCGGTTTCCATGATCCAAGGAGGTCCTGTACACATTTAGTGACTGAAGCCATTCCTCAGGATTCAGGGAACCATCTGCAGCGAACACGGATGTCTCGAGCCATGATTGGTGAAGAATAGGAGTAAGTGCATTTGTTGTGGCATTCATATCCACAGTGAGTGGCTGAGCAAATGTGGGTGCATTACTATAAGCTACATTGACTGGCACTGACCTTGGGGCCGTCGACCCTCCATCATGTCTTTTTGTAGGTCAATCGAGTCGTGAAGGCACCGCTGCAGTACTGCCACCTCTGCTTGCAACTGCTTGACTTGAGTCAAGTCACCTTCATTTATGTAGTAACAGAGATTGCTTTGGGTTTACAGCAGCTCTAGAATAAAGTTATTGTCCAGCTAAAGTTAGTTTTGATTGATTGATTCATTCATTTCCATTGCAAAGATCATTAGTTATTAAATTAGGGGCGATAACACGACACAGTTCTAACAGAAAACTCTCAACGCGATGTATCCACACAAAACAGTGCTTGAGAACGCAAACCCTGAAATGGTTCTCTTCCTATTTGAAAGATAAGACTTTTTCAGTCAGTTTAGTGGATTATTCTTCTACCAACATGGCATCATGACTTTGCGTAAACATACACGCCACTTTCAAGTCAAGTGGCGTGTTATCTATACGCATTTTGAGCTATCCGCGTTTATGTCCACGCCGAAACGAACCGTCATCTTTTGCGTGTATGTCTACGCCGTTAAATGTCCGAGTGATTCCGCGTGTATGTGTACGCCGTTAAATGTCCGAGCGAAACGAAGCAAAATTCATATCTACATCTGTGGAGCGATATTTTTTTTCCTAGGATGGCAGGAGAAGACTCATAAATGGTATTAACCCCAGTGACGGGTAGGTTTAGGGACGGGGTTGGGGTAGGCCATATATTTATATATACAGTAATGTAACGTTAAGTCAACGGCGTTGATAAACACGCTGAAAAGCGATTATGCGTGTTGATAGCACGCAAAAAATGGAAATATGAATTGGCGTGTCATACATACGCCATTTCATGAGATCAGTCTGTCTTCTACTGTGTGTGGGGTTCCGCAGGGCTCTATACTGGGACCAATTTCATTTTTCCTTTATATGCTCCCTCTAGGTTCTATTTTTGAGAAATTTGGGATTCAGTATCATCTGTATGCAGATGATCCTCAAATTTATTTACCACTGAAACATGGTCATAAATGTGTCATTCAGTGTCATTCAGAATGTGTAACTGACGTTAAGTGCTAACTGGCGAATAACTTTTTACAATTAAATGAGGATAAGACCGAGATTAATTTATTTGGAAATAAGGAGTGTGTGGAGGATGACGGCCTGGAGTTGTTTCCTTGGAAAAAAAACCTGTCTAGTGTGAGAAACTCCAACACAGGTGTTACTCCACAGTCATCATCACGTCACTCACCCTAACTCCATCCTGCGGACAAACAGAGGAAAAAACCAACGACCCACAAATATGACCCTGTTTGTTCATAACAAAGAGACGCCACCCAAAAAGGAGAACAGAATTCTCCTAAGTTTTCAATCTTTCTCATAATACCAATGACTGCCATGAAATTGAGGCTATTTTATGATACCAAACATGAAAGGGAATAAACAATAAATTCACAAGATACAACATATGTGATATATAGACATTCTCAGTGAACTTTTAGTGACTTGAATCAGGGGGAAAGGAAGGGAGTAGGGAGAGGGGGATGCAGAGATAAGAAGGAGACAAGTTTGGACAAGACAATGTCGTTTGCTCTTTCTTTGAGGTCTTCTCTGCAGGGGTGCGCTTTATTACAGGGTGTGTTTTAACTCTGCTTTTGTCTTAGCAAGAAAATCAAGTCTTACATATTTCACATGTATTTAATGACATTTTTTGAAAACCACAAACCCTCGATATTGTATTCGCCACTCATTTGTCAAAGTGAATCTAAACTACTGTATTTAATGACATGTTCTAGTCAGTAAAAAAAAACAAAAAAAAAAACATTGACAACTGCATATTTTTATTTAGCAGACATTTCACATCAATGGTTTTCAAAAGAGGAAGGCTTTAGTACAACACACGTGATTTTTCAACCCACAAACCCTCTTTTTTCGCCACGCCCACATCTGTCAAATTAAAACTTAACTTCTGTATATAATGGCATGACTTTGTTGGAGATATCAACCATTTCTGAAGACAGCACCCAGGTTTTTGCTCCAAGTCATTTACAGTGTTCAGGTAAGGAAAATCTAACTGAAAATAACTATTTCGATGAGATAAATAATTAAATAGATTTTATGCAACTTTATGATCATTTTTCAAAAGCATCAGTCTGATTTCAGCAGTGCTTAAATTGCCTTGATTCAGTAGCGGCTCTTGGCTGTAAATTTAGGTAGTGCAGATTCTGGGTCTCAGCGCTAGTTTATGATGAACATTTTTTATTTATTTATTTATGATAAACATTTGCTTTATATTCTAAACGCTGAACACACTTTTGGCAGAGGTTGCGGGTGGAACTCCAATGTTGATTGACAGACTTTACGCACGACACACACAGAACGCTATCTTAGAATATTGCCTAATGTTGTTTTAGAATACAAGCTGTGGAGGAATTCCAGAGAGGAATAGAAAGCCATGTCTATTCACAAACACAAAACAAACACAACAGAATTATAAAAAGGCTGTTCACATGAGTATGTTTAAACTAAAGAATTTATACTTTCATTAAATTGAAACGCTACTCGAAGAACAGCCACGCTACTGACCTGAAGCAGTTTATACACACACCTGAAGCAGTCTATACACACACACCTGAAGCAGTCTATATACACACACCTGAAGCAGTGTATACACACACCTGAAGCAGTCTATACACACACACCTGAAGCAGTCTATATACACACACCTGAAGCAGTGTATACACACACCTGAAGCAGTCTATACACACACACCTGAAGCGGACTGATATCGTCTTGGTCTAGGCTGAGGTTTAGCCTACATACGGTAACGTGAAAATAAGCATTTCTTAGTGTTTGAACTTAAACTCAAATATAAAGAAATGCGTTCAGTGAGAGCTTAACTCAAGGAGTTCAGTGAATGTCCCGGCTCAATATATTCGTGAGCTAAACGTTGTTAAAACACAAATTACAATCATAGTAACGTAGACAACTTTATAATATAGACAGTTTTATAATATAAATTGTTCTGTAAGCAGGCAGCTGAGAGACAAGACCGAATAAGGGACGTCTGCAAAGTGCAAAACCCAAAACCTTTTTGCACATTTAATATTACACAGAAAATATTCAATAACTTCACTGTGACACACTGTAATGTCACCAGTCATTCAGTTCAGACATCACTGCTCTCCAGTTGGTTTGGTTATACTACAGCACTTAGTTCGATAAAAAAAATAAAATTATATGTATTACAATATATACATATATATTTATTATGATACAAAATCAATAACTTCACCTTTATTAGAAAAAAATATTCAATAACTTTACACTGTTATAGCCTACAGTGTAATGCCATCAAATTCAGCAAGTTATTATCATGCATAAGCTATGACATTTCATTTGCGTACTAACATCCTTTGTGTAAAGAATAGACCTACTTATTTTTTTATGTGTTATTACTTACCAAACTAGATGTTGTATAACTAGCATGAGAGCAGTGAACTGAATTTGGTGAGTTACAGTGAAGTTATTGAATATTTTTCATAATCAGAGGTGGAAGTAACGAATTACAACTACTCACGTTACTGTAATTAAGTAGTTTTTTCGTGTACTTGTACTTTCATGAGTATATTTTTAAGTCTGTAATTTTCCTTGTACTTAAGTACAAATTAAGTTAAGTAATGTACTTCGCTACTTTAAAAATCACATTCGTTACTAAGTACTTGTACAATTTGAATTAAATTAATTTTCAAATCTTTGACCAGCATTTGGGTATCCAATAGAAATAACTGATCGTGGGCGGGCCAATAAAAACCCTTGTATTTGGACCGGGGAAAAAGCCCGGTTTCTGGAGAGCTATTCGTCCTCGCACGTCCTTCACTGTGAAGGTGTATTTTAGTGTTATCAAAGAACTTTGGCGTTATGGACATGGAGATTCGAGACGCTGAATTCATTGAAAATTCCGAAGAAATACCGGATGACGAGTGCCCTTGGCCGCACAAATGCAATGCAAACTTTGTTTGCCATCCGCAGTGATTTCGGCTTAAAAGACTTAAGCCTCTAATCTCAAAAAACACATTATGGTACGAAGACTTATAACTATATTTATGTGATAGTTGTTTTCGTTTTTCATGTTGGGTAGACCTCACGATAATTTGACTAAAAACATCACTTGAAACATGAGCTTCAGCGAGCACATAGAGCGTAAAAAAAATATTTAGCATTGTAAAGTGGCTTTATGTCATTGTCAACAAATTGTTTTATTCATATTGAATCTGTGTTTTAAACTTATAATAAACGGTCTAATAATGACTCTTTCATAAAAACAGTTTCTTGCCGCGACCCACTGGCGTAACAGTGTAACTGCACTGATTGACAGCCTGTCTAGATTGCGCATGTGTCAGTGCTAAATGCTGATAACTTTTGAAATATTAGTAGGGTACTTTTGGAAAGCTTTCTTGTCCAGTCAGATTTTTTTAAATGTAAAAAAAATAAAATAAATATGTTTATAAATAAAATAACCCAACAAGCTCATTTATGTTGCATTATAATTCATTAATAATAATATTAGACCATTTTTATAACTTGATTCCCATAAAAATTATATGAAGAAATAATATGAAATAATATATAATTTCCTTTATATACTTCCTCTGTTATATTTTCAGTTGTTGGTTTGCAGTGAAAAGTTTATACTGTTTATACATGTTTAAAATTAATTTAACATTCTTTAAACAGACAAAATTCCTGTACTACATGTTTACTCGTATAAAACACAAATTGCCTGTGTTTAAACCATTCATATTTCTGATTTGATTCAATGGATTTGATGTTTATTCAATAAATATCACAGGCTAAAAAGTAATTAGTACTTGAGTAGTTTTTGAGAGGGGTACTTTGTACTTTTACTTACGTACATTTTTAACACCAGTACTTTTACTTGTAATTGAGTATTTTTTTAGCAACTACTTGTACTTGGACTCGAGTACAAATTTTCAGTACTCTTTCCACCTCTGTTCATAATATAAAATGGGCAAAAGCTATTTTTTTTCAAGTGTCAGTAGTAGTCAGGCGATGTTCAGTTCTCCTGTCTTCGAAACTTTGTACTCCATTCTGACAAAGTTGCTGCCCGAGCGAGCGATTCACTGCACTAGCTTCCAGGGAAGTGGGCTTTATCACACCCACACCCAGGACAGAATGACCTCCTTAAACAGAGCCCCAGAGGCAGCCATACCCCTAGTGGAGTGAGCCCTGAGCCCCTGCACTCCCTTAGATTCATATCCCAAAGATATAGCTTCCTCAAGCCTAGAGAGAGGCGTTGCTTGGAAATGGTGTTCAGTTTTGTGTTTAGTGGACTTAATGACATTCCCTAAAACATTTCCTCCTTTTTATGTGGATATGATTTTTTTATGTATTCATGTATTTTAAACAGAGAGCGGTTGTTTTGTCAGAAATAATCATGTGGAGAAGACCTTAGAAAGCCTGCAAAATCTCAACAAAAACAAAAAAAATTGAGGCATCATTCATGTCACAATTTATAGATGAAGATTAATACTTAGGATTGACAGTTTTTTTTTTTTTTTGAAGCAGGTAAACGACAGGTAAAACATGTCGTATGTCTTATATGTCTACAGATTCACTGCTACAATGTCGAACAGTAACCAAGAGAAGAGCGGCCGTCTCATCAGCATCCATCAACACCATGGAGTATTTGGAGGTATGCTGTCCTGGCTAATCTACCGATAGATTGCAATTGCTAACGTCATTTATACTCTAAATGAGCTTACTTGATTTTCCGCCATCACTCTTCATTACTGCGCGAACTTCAGGCGTGTGCATGTGATTGTAACGTGCGCGAGGGGTGGCGTGTGCCCGACCTGTGATTGGCAGTCAGATCTCACACCCCTCTGCGCTGATTGGACTCGATGATCCGGGAGCTGTGGATTTTTGCAAAACAAATAACGCTCCAGGTGGAGTTAGAAGCTCGGGTTTTTTTCTAAAACCACTTTATTTATGTTGTTCTGTCAGATTATAGTGTCGATTTCACTGAATATGATCAAAAAAAATTGCCGACGGCAGCTTTAATACTTAGGATTGACAGTTTTTTTTTATTTTGAAGCAGGTAAACGACAGGTAAAAAATGTCGTATGTCTTATATGTATACAGATTCAACTGCTACAATGTCGAACAGTAACCAAGAGAAGAGCGGCACAGAGTCTGACCAGAGCAAACAGCAACATGCACATGTCAACAGGTAAGTGTCATAATACAAATGTAACATAACAGTTTTCATTCTTAACAGGTTAATTTCATTCATTTGAAAAAAATTGGTCCAAACTTAAAAAGTAAGAGAGAAGAATATACTGAAGCAGCGGCTCCAAGAATGGTTCAGACTAGGGGTGCGCCGATCCGATACTCAGTATCGGTATTGCTCCGATACTACCAATATTGGCCGATGCCGATCCAAATCCGATCCCATAGTGTAGCCTACGAATGTTATTGTTATACAACACAAAAGGCACAAAAACATTATAAAGCACTATAATGTTTTCGTGTACTATATTCCAAGTTATCTGAAGCCATTACATATAGTTTAATGTGAGGTACAGAGATTTAAATCGTTAAATTAATCTTCACCTAAGTGCTTCCCTCCGCTGCGGCTGTCAGTCATTCTCCATTTAGCAGTCAGCACTCAAACGCGTCGCGCTCGGGTACGACAATCAACACGATGAAACTCTCTCCAAGATGAGTCAATGTTCATATTATTATACTGTAGATCTGTAGATAAAGGTCTATGGTTTGCATAAAAGGACTTTAACGTGCTGGAGTTTCACATGTTACTTTCTACCGGGTGTCTGTTAGATCACAACACAACTGATCAGTGATCACCACACTGGAGTAGAGAGCGATATAATTGCTCTTCATGCGCACATTAACTAAAATTTAAAACTGTTGAAAGGCTCAAACTAATGAATAAATAAAGAAATATATGTATATCTTACTTTTGTGCTTTGAACTTTTCAATGCGAAGTGCTGCGCGCCGTGACTCCGTGTTGCTTCGAGCGCATCATTCCGCGCACGGGATGCGCATAAGGTTTCGTGCCGCTCTGAATTGGAGCCTTTCATATTACAATACTTTTGCGCAATGGCAGTTTATTGATAGCCTTAGTTGTTCTGTCCAATCTATCATATGTTGCTGCTTCATTAAAAAGTTGTGCTTAAAATTTTTAAATAAATGTCTTTTAATTACATAGTATAGATTTTGTCTGTATTGTTTTACAAAGTAAGGACATTTTTTATTGAAGGCGAGTTTGTAGAGAACACAAGTGCAGTTTAAGAGTAGACAAAACATGATCAAACATAAACAAAAGCGTAGCATGAAACTCATGAACATGAACATGGCTGTGGGACTTACAAACAATAGTTTAGGAAACAAAACTTGACCAAGACACATGGCGAACATGAGTGCTTAAATACACTAGACTAATGACTAGACAAGGGACACCTGTAAACAACGAACCAATGACAACATGACAACACAGAACATATGGCAGGATCACATGACTAAAACAGGGGATCACATGTGTAGATTTGATAATCTTGGGCTGTTTACAAGGAAACGATCTGAAGAGAAAACGCAAAAGTGGCGCTGCGTTATCACTTTTTATTCTGCGTTTAGACGAGCGTTATGGCGGGGAAATCTGCGTGCATATGGTGACGCAAAAGTGTGTGAAATTCAATGTAGTATGCACTCCAGGCGGCTAGGTGGAAATGTGAAGCACTGCCGCACAACAACACCAAGTCCGCGTGCCTGTGTACAACCCATAGACAGTAAAAGAAATGGACACAGCGACCCCATAGACTTCAACGGAGAAAAGTGAAGTCAAATAGAAGCACTCACTTCCTGATTGCCAAGCGCACTGCGCATGCTCAAACGGAGCTTGAAGACGTAGTTGTGACGTGAGCAACCTGACTGACAGTTGTACGTCTTCTAGTAGCAGTGCCAAGGGGAATCTGAATCATTCCCTTTTGAATCTTGCAGAGCCGGAGATCGTGAGTATTAGCTGTTCATGAGCTCGCAGCAGGAGCAACTTTACAACTCTCTATGGGCTTCTCCCTTAACTTTATGCCTCCACGTCCCCCGATTGCGTGTGAGCTTCTACATCTGTCTTTACGGTCATTTCTCTTCTATGCGACAGAGAGTCGCGTGTTATGACGCAATCGTTAGCCTATTTTTACTAAAACGTTCCGGGTTACTTGACTGTAACCCTGTTCCCTGAAAAAGCGGAACGAGATGCTGCGCTGCTTAGCGCATTGGGAACGTCTTTAATCGTGACCCGCTGTGAATATAGTGTGTAAACACGTCGATAGAATCGACCGGAAGTAATATAGCCTCGGTCGGTGACGTCATCGTCGCGCGCCCGCGTGCACTCGCGCACACTCGCGTGCACCCGCGAGGCTATAAATAGATGAGCCGCAGGTGCATCGTCAGGATATTTTGTCTGAAGAGCTGTCCTGGGACATCATCAGCACGGCAAAGTAGCGCAGCATCTCGTTCAGCTTTTTCAGGGAACAGGGTTACAGTCAAGTAACCCGGAACGTTCCCTTTCAAAAGCTACAATCGATGCTGCGCTGCTTAGCGCATTGGGAACGAGAATACCCACGCCGCCATGCTTGAAGGTGTCTGGACTCCTTACGGTTGTGTAGGTGTGCTCACAAGAACGCAAGAAAGCCCTAGACATTAGCTTGTGATGTCGACTCAAGGACATGAGAGCCCGGAGTGGCATGAACATCTAAACTATAAAACCTTATGAATGTGTGCGGAGAGGACCAGCCTGCCGCATCACAAACATGCTGTAAGGGGGCACCCCTTGCCAAAGCAGTAGAGGAGGCGACTCCTCTGGTGGAGTGAGCCCTTAGACCCGTTGGCGAAGCTTGGCCGCGCGCCTCATAGGCAAGAGCAATAGCATCCCTGACCCAATGTGACATGGTCTGTTTAGTAGCGGCAGCACCCCTGTTACTGCCCCCATAACAAACAAATAGTTGCTCTGACTTACGCCACTGGCTAGTACGGTGAACGTAGGCCTGAAGAGCACGGACTGGACACAGTCTGTGAGATCTCTCCTGCTCCAGCGTTGTGAACGGTGGAGGGCAGAAGGCCTCAAGAGTGACCGGATGTACAGCTGAAAACGGTACTTTAGGCAGGTAATCAGGATGAGGATGCAAAATCACTTTCACCATTCCTGGGGCAAAGTCTAAGCAGGATGGCGATATTGACAGAGCCTGCATATCCCCGATTCTTTTTAGAGAGGTTATAGCCATAAGAAAAACCATCTTTAGGGTCAGAAGTTTGTCAGACGCTGACTCTAGAGGTTCGAAGGGGGTCTCAACCAGACCCTCTAGGACTATAGCTAAGTCCCATGAAGGGATCTTGGTTCTTACGGGAGGCCTCAGTCGTCTGGCCCCACGAATGAAGCGAGCGAGCAAAGGATGTCTCCCAAGTGGCACCCCGTCAACCAAGGCGTGGCAAGCCGAAAGAGCGGCCACATAAACCCTGAGAGTGGCGGGGCATGTGCCTGTTGATAATTTTTCCTGCAGGAAATCCAGAACTGAAGCAATCTGGCAGTTGACCGGATCTGCATTATGTAAAACACACCACCTTTCAAAAACACCCCATTTGTTGGCATAACTCTTTCTAGTGGAGGAAGCCCTAGCACTTAGAATAGTCTCAATAACGGCAGGCGAAAGCCCAGTGTCCCTCAGTTGGTACCCATCAGGGGCCAAACATGAAGGTTCCACAGGTCGGGCCTGGGATGGAATATTGTGCCCTCTGCCTGGGACAGAAGGTCCCTCCTCTCCGGAATCGCCCATGGCGAGCCGTTGAGGAGAGATATTATCTCCGAGAACCACATTCTGTTCGGCCAACGCGGCGCTATCAATAAGAGGCAAGACCCTTGCTGGCGAACTCTGGCTAGAACTCCCGGGAGCAGAGCCACTGGAGGAAACGCATACAGGCGCATTTTGGGCCATGTGTGCGCCATCGCATCCAGACCCAGGGGGGCTGGGTGACTCAGAGAGAAGTAGAGGGGACATTGCGCTGTCTGATGGGAGGCGAAGAGGTCCACTTCCGCTTTGTAAAATCTGGTCCAGATCTGATCGACTACTTCTGGGTGGAGTTTCCATTCCCCCGTCAGCAGTTTCTGTCTGGACAGTAAATCTGCTCCCACATTCTGGTGCCCAGGGATGTACACTGCCCTGAGTGACAGGAACTTCTCCTGGGCCCAGAGGAAAATCTGCCTCGCTATTTTGTTCAGATTGCGTGAGCGCAGACCTCCCTGGTGATTTACATAAGAAACTGCCGCTGTGTTGTCCACCCGCACTAGGATATGACAGCCTCTCAACTGAGGGAGAAAGTATTTCAGGGCCAGAAATACAGCCATCAGCTCGAGGCAGTTGATATGCCAATCGAGCTGATGACCCTCCCATTCCCCTTGAGCTGGACGACCACTTAAGACCGCTCCCCAGCCCAACAGGGAGGCGTCTGTCGTTAGCAATCTGCGACGACAAGGCGCCCCTAGAGTGGCACCCAAGGCGAGGAACCGGGGTCTGAGCCACAGAGATAGTGTACGAAGCCCGCGGCGCGTCATTTTTATTTGCCTTTGAGGATTGGCCCTTGGATGAAATCCCCTGGCTTTTAGCCACAACTGAAAGGGTCTCATGTGCAATAGCCCCAAAGGAATCACCGTGGATGCTGAAGCCATGTAACCTAACATCTTTTGGTACTGACGAACAGTACGATCTTGACCTAGCCTGACTTTGCTCATAGTTACCCGAATGGTCTCGATTTGAGCGGGGGACAATTGTGCCCGCATCGTAATCGAATCCCAAACAATTCCGAGATAAGTCGTTCTCTGGGCAGGACAAAGAACACTTTTCTTGGTGTTGAGTCTCAACCCTAGAGAAACTAGATGAGCCAACACGATGTCTCTGTGTTGAAGCACCATCTCTTGCGATTGTGCTAGTATTAACCAATCGTCGATGTAATTCAAAATACGAATGCCCTGGAGTCGCAATGGAGCCAGTGCTGCATCCATGCATTTTGTGTATGTGCGGGGTGATAAGGCTAGGCCAAATGGAAGAACCCGAAATTGGTATGCTTCGCCCCCGAAAGCGAACCTCAGGAACTTCCTGTGTTGTGGCAATATTTGTATGTGAAAATATGCGTCCTTCAGATCGATCGTGACGAACCAATCGTGATGTTGAATTTGCGACACGACCGTCTTGACGGTTAACATCTTGAACTTGAGCGCTTTGACTGTACGGTTTAAGCCTCGAAGATATAAGATTGGACGCAACCCCCCGTCCTTTTTGGGGACCAGGAAGTATCTGCTGTAATAGCCTGACTCCCTCTCTGGCAGAGGAACATGTTCTATGGCCTCTTTGCTCAGAAGAGTTTGTAGCTCTTGTGATAGTACATGCATCAGCTCCGGTCTTACGGAAGTGGAGACCACGCCGTTGAAACGCGGAGGACGATGAATAAATTGGATTCTGTATCCTATTTGTACTATGCTTAATACCCAAGCAGAAATGCCTGGCAGAAGTTGCCACGCTGCCAGACTCTCTGATAGTGGTATCAGTTTTAATACTTCCTCTTGAGGGGATGTTAGATGTTCCGTGCCCTGGATGAAAGCAGGGAGCAACGGAACATCTAACATTTCGCTGTAAACCGCTGCCCCCCGAAGCACCAAAGGTGGCGGGGATGGAGAGGTTTTGTGAGGGTAACGAGAAGGGGCGGTCAGATATAATACGCGCCCCGTCCCGCGGGGGACTACCCCCACCAGACTGGGCGCCAGACCATCAGGACTTCTTCTTTCTGTTGATGATAGTCCTGAGGTCTGGCTTGGGAGGTTGCTGAGCCTGACGAGCCTGTCTCCAGTTCTTACTAGGAGGAGCACGGCTCGCCACGCTCTGCTTTTTAACCTCCCTAGGTTTTGAAGGACCAGGGAGAGGTTGGGTGGCCGATGGCCCCTCCTCTTAAGTGCGGCGAGAAAGGAACTGAACAAACGCCTCCTCATGCTTCTTGACCTCCCTGAACCTGGTGACTACTGAGTTGACCGAGTCGCCAAACAGGCCAGAGGGAGAAACTGGAGAGTCAAGAAGAAAGACACGATCTTTATCTTTGATGCCTGTGAGGTTGAGCCACAGATGCCTCTCCGTGCTTACCAAAGCGGACATAGAACGGCCGATGGCACGGGCCGTTTGCTTAGTGGCACGAAGAGACAGATCTGTGGCTCGGCGCAGTTCAGAAAACTCTTCCTCATCTATCGTTGTACCCGCACTCAAGTCCTTCAAGAGGTCAGCCTGGTATGCCTGTAACACAGCCATTGTGTGCAGCGCAGCACCAGCCTGACCTGCAGCTTGGTAAGCTTTACCCACAAGCGAAGATGTTATTCTACACGGCTTTGAGGGGAGGGTAGGTTTTTTAAGCGAAGATGTAGACCCAGGCGAGAGATAGCTGGCGAGCGTCTCTTCAACCTGGGGCATCTCCGCATACCCTCGCGCCTTTGCACCCACGATAGTCAAAAAAGTCGACGTCGAAGGCACGAAGACACGAGAGGTATATGGTTTTCTCCATGATTTAGATAGCTCATCATGGAGGTCCTCGAAGAAGGGGAGAGACTGATGTTGAGGTCCCTCCCCCCTGCCACCGGACAAAAACCTATCCTCAAGCTTACTGCGTTTGGGGGTCTCTTGTTCACGAGGCCAGTCAAGCTGCAATCTGGCCACCGCGCGAGTAACCACCTCGAGAAGCTCCTCGACAGATTTATCGTCGCGCGAGGAACGCTCAGAAGTTGGCTGCTCGAAGTCCGTAGACCCAAGAGATTCATTATCGTCCCCCGCGTGAGCCGAAGAAGCACCGGGATGCGCTTCGGGATCACGCGAGGGAACGACTGGATCTGGTGAACAAGCAAGCGAAAGGGACGGACCCGTCTCTTGCTCGTCAGCCAAATCCATTCGGGAGCCCCATGATGATAATGCGGTTGCGGACTGAAAGTAGCCAAGACGAGCGCGAAGCATTTTAACAGTGAACAGCTCACAATGCTCGCACTCCCCTGACTCCAATGCAGCGGCCGCATGCTCCTCCCCCAAACACACAAAGCAGTAAGCGTGTGTATCCAGTTCTGACATGGGTCGAGAACATGGAGGGACACAGCGCTTAGCTTGCTGACTCATTTCTCTTTTTGCTTTTTAAACTCTTTAAATGACGTTAAGAGATGAGAATGAGTGAAAATTCTGCACACTGTCAGGTATAAAGCTAAATAACTCCTAACAAAGATCTGTAGCAGAGAGAAAATAGATGCTTGCACACCAACACAGAGAGGTCTCTGAAGACAAAAGACCTGACGATGCACCTGCGGCTCATCTATTTATAGCCTCGCGGGTGCACGCGAGTGTGCGCGAGTGCACGCGGGCGCGCGACGATGACGTCACCGACCGAGGCTATATTACTTCCGGTCGATTCTATCGACGTGTTTACACACTATATTCACAGCGGGTCACGATTAAAGACGTTCCCAATGCGCTAAGCAGCGCAGCATCGATTGTAGCTTTTGAAAGGGAACTGCTTCTACGGGGTCACAACGTAAGATACAAGGTAATGGAGCATTTTATACATTGTCGTGTTTCTTTAGAAATAAATAATGGACAAATGGAGTCTTTAAACGTCTCAGATGTAAAGTTATTCGCTGTCAAAGTGACGCAAAAATGAATGGGAGTCAATGGGATGCTAACAGCAGGTGAAGGCTTGTTAGCCAATGGCGGCGCCCGGGGAGACTTCAGTTTCCGGCTGGTGGATTACCCCCTTGGTACAACCTTCCTTCTTCTCTCCCTAGTAGCGCCAAATCAAAACATGGCGAAGCGAACAGCAAAAAGACTCTTGTATGTTTTTCAGAGCTGCTAGGGCAACTTGAAGGACCGACGTATAGAAATAATCCGACATGTTGGTTGTTATTTTCCTGTACTGGCGCATGCCTGTGACGTAAACGCGTACGCGACGAGAGCCGCCGTGAGCAGATTTGCGTTTTTTCCGCAACGGTGGAGCGTTTTTAAGATTTCCACTCTGGAGGGTGGTTTCACTTTTTTGCGTTTGACATTGAAATTAAATTGTCAAAATCAGAAGAGAAGAGTCTAGTGTGGAAAAAGGTAATGGAAATATGGCAATATCAATGAGATCATGAAAGTAAAGGAAGACATCTATACATGATTCAAAATAAAGTAGGTATTTTAAGAGAGATGACAAATAGAAGGAAAGAGCAAGTTGTAATATCAAGACGATTGGGAATTGTAAGTTAAATGGAGCTCTGTGTATGTTATAGGAAAACATCCTACAGGTCAATGCATTTTTATGTCATGCAGGAAATTTACACAAGAAAGGCAAGAGTTTAAACATCATTTACAAGAAATTGGTATAGGACAGTATAATGTAAAAGGTATTAGAATGTATAAAAAGTGAACAAGTAAAGAAATATTTGTTTTATTTTTTAAAGAGGACTGGACTGGAAAGACAAATATAAATATGAAGTGACAAGATAATAGAGAGGAGATGGCAGTAATGGAACTTTTTGGATGCCAGCTGCCTCAAAACACCAAGGAAGAAGAAGAAGAAATCATGTAAATTAAGTCACGTCAATAAAATGTGATACTGCTTGTCTTGGAAGAAAGAAAAAAGTTACAAGCTTCTAAAAAAAACTTTGAAAACTCCCAAAAAAAGACGATGAAAAATAATAATGTGTATGGAAACGAATTTTCAAAACAAAACCACAAAAAAAAACAATATTAGTTATAAACAACTGTCATCCTGTCACTGCAAACCAGGCAATATAATAATAAATTGCTGATTTAAAAATGTTGATGTTAAATCAGTTCTCTCTTTTGTAGAGCACGTCATGATGCCACACTATTGAATCCTGGTCTTCCAACACTTTATCGTCTGAACACAGACAGAACATATGTTGATGGGACTGATGGAAAGGTCAGACGGTGGACATATGGAAAAAGAGACGGAAACAAACAGAACAAAGTCATTCTGATGGTGGGAGAATCCGCCACTGGGAAAACCACCTTGATCAACACCATGATCAACTACTTTCTGGGAGTGAAGTTTGAGGATGGAGAGTTTTATCAAATCACAGAAGAAGATGAAAAACATCAAGATCAGTCACAATCCCAGACATCTGAGATCACTGTTTATGAGGCGTTTGCTGAAGAAAACCCAACATCTCTGACCATCATTGACACTCCAGGATACGGAGACACTAAAGGATTCGAGAAAGATGAAGATATTTCTGAGAATCTGTGCAGATTATTTTCAGATAAGGATAATGGGATTCATTACCTTGATGCAGTGTGTTTTGTGATGAAGGCGTCTCAGAATCAACTCTCTGGTAAACAGCATCACATATTTCACTCATTTCTGTCTCTGTTTGGTAAAGATATAAAGAACAACATAGTGTTTCTACTCACACAGTCAAATGGAGAACGTCCAACAGATGCTCTCAATGCCATTAAGAAAGCAGAAATACCCTGCGGAAAAGATGAAGACAAGAAACTTGTTCACTTCTTATTCAACAACCGACAGAAAGAGGAAAGAGACGAAGAGTATGATCATGTTTTGAAATCAGTCTGGAGACTGGGAGACGAAAGCATGAATGAGTTCTTCAAACTCCTGAAAGAAGAGAACAGAAAAAGTGTTCAGATGACATTAGATGTTCTGATAGAGCGAAGACGACTCGAGACCTGTTTCTCTAATCTGAAGGACAGCTTAAACGAGAAGGAGACAAAAATAAAAGAATTGACTGATGATCTGGAATCCATCAGAGATACCAACGGCAAGATTGAGAGAGGTGAGGAAGTTGATTTGAGAAAACGTATATATTTAAAAGTAAAAGTCCCCATTGTAAATCAGTGGTGGTGGAACAGTAAGGCGACCTGTTGCTCCGTCTGTGAGGAAACCTGTCATGAGTGGAAATGCTGTATGGCACCAGATCCCTCATGGTGTTGGGTCATGAAAAACGGCAACTGCACTGCGTGTACAAAAAAGTGTCATTACAGCAAACATGTCAAAGAGAACAAAAAATATGAGGCAGAGGATATCACACGGGAGTACTATGAAGGCAGAGAAGAAGAAGTGAAGAGTCAGCTGGAGGAGATTAAAGAAGAAAAGTCCCTCCTATTGCAAGAAGCATATACCATCATCATGAATCTGTCTGAGATTGCACTGAAAGTAGACGACGCTTTCACTCTTCAACATCTGGATTTCTTGATTCCCAGACTGAAGGAGGAGGGAAAAGATGAATGGATAAAGAAGCTGGAGGATCTGAAGAAAGCTGGAGGAGCGCAGAAAAACAAGGGGCTGTTGATCGCTTAACTAGGGGTGTTGACTCATGATTATCAAGATTATGAAAAATCTGACAGTTCTTGTTTAAATTATGAGTATTTTACAAAGTTTAGGTTTATGTTCATTTATGTTTTATTTTATGTTCTATTATTTTATTTTTCAAGTGACAACATAACCAATATTATTGAGAACATGATAATGGCTGTAAAAGAAGAAAAGTGATAACGTATTGGTTTGAATGGTTGACCAACCACTGGGGAGGATGGGAATATTGGATATGACATACAGTGCTGATAGTGATAGTAGTTTTGGTGTTGACGTGCCTGTCATGTGTAATACTATGTTTTTACAGCTTTAGTGGAGAAGATAATTGTGAAAAGTAGTTTCATATCAAATGCTTCGAATGTCTAATTATGAGGATCAATTTGATGATGTATGTCGAAAACCAAAGAAATTTAATGATGACACAACCAGCAGAAGTTACAGTGAAATGTATTAATTGAGTTAAGATATGTTTTTTTGAGCCCGATCTCATGAAAGTGCGTATCTATACCACGAATGTCATTTCTCGTGCCATTTATACGCCAAAAATGTTTTTTGCGTCTATATGATACGCAGTTTTCGCGTGCATATGATACGCACTTTATGGCGTGTAATACGCACGCACTCCCCACCCCCCCTCCCCCCTAAACCTACCCAAGGGGTTTTCAGTGCGTAGCATATGCACGCAAAAACCATTTTTGGCGTATAAATGGCACGAGAAATGACATTCGTGGTATAGATACGCACTTTCATGAGACTGTGTTGGTTTTTTTCTATTCTGAGCATCTATTCTATTTCTTGTTTATACTGAGGTGACTCCGGGTCTGATTTTATGTCAGGAGCAGGCACGTGCACACATAGACATCAAAAGGGGCTTGAGCACCTGCCCTTTTTATTCCTGGAGAGAAAGTGCCCTTTTTTCTGGGGTGCTTTTTTTTTTCTTTTTCTTTTTTTATAATATATATTCCTGTTTGCGCACAGCTTCCCTGTCAAACAAATTTATTTATTGCATAGTATATCTAAATATCAGGTCAGGAGTTCTAAAGCGCTCCCTCTCTCTCCTGTATAGTAAAATGATGCGTCCCGTATCAAATCAATAATGGACGCGATTTGTCCCGTATTTTACATAAGGCCCACACAAAGTTGAGTAAAAACTTTAAACCTGCTTCAAACCAATGCGCGACAAGTCAAAAGAGAGCGCGCTGCCTGTGAATGTCCTGACTGTGACTCACAGAAAGACGCGCGCCAGTATCGTGCGCATGCACAGACCGCGCGCCAGAATACAGTTCTCTTTCGCGCTTGAACGAACAATAACACACACAATTATGCCAAAATGTCGTTTGTCAAGTATCTTCATAACATAAGAGCAGTCTTATGATGGACATAAGAGTTGTGAGAGAATGAGGCGCGTGTGAGATGCGCGTCTCTGTCAGAAGCGGCTTGTCTTAAAGGGCCAGCATCCATGTCAGTAAAGTCAATCAAAGAACAAAGGGAACAGGGAAAATTACCCACTGCTCTTGACTAAAGAACTTGTGTAGCTTTAATAAGGATCAGTCTATATAATTTATAATTTATGCAGCGCAGACTGTCTGATAACTATTCAATTTCTGTATTATGTCCTACCTGTTAGACAGGAAGGGCACAGGTAAATATGACATTTATTATGGGTTTATGTGAGGATTGTTTGAAGTTCACTTAAATAAAAAGCTGTTTTATTTTTTGAAGCCTAATAAATGTTTTTAAAAAATTGATAGCTTTCAATAATGATGGAATCACTGTAATGCTGTAATGTTCCTTTGCTGCTCTATAAACCTAGTGAATACTAAGGAGACCATGGTTTCTGTGTGAACTGATTATTTTGTAGACATCTTTTGAAAATGAAACAATTGCGTGAGTTTGAGGAAGATAAAATTAATTAACTTTTTTAATAATTTTTTTAAAAAAGGAAGTCAGAGTTGTGTTAATATAATATATTTTTTTGTTTAAAAAAGTTAAAAAAAATACGTAATTATGAGAAGTGCCCTTTTTTTCACTTGAGCACCTGCCCCTCAAAATGTCTGTGCACGTCCCTGGTCAGGAGTGCGATAACTGTTTATTAATTCAGCCCGGCTTCAGATAAAGTCTTGACTTGCTTGCTGAATACTTAAGGGCTAAAAACAGCCTAAGCTTTATTCTTTTAAAAAACCTTATTTCACAAGTTTAAGAGGGTGATCCTTTATATGAAAATCAGAGATGAAGAGTATAAGTGTGATATACTGACTTAAATTTGCTGTCTTATTTTAGTTATCAATTAATTATTAACAGAGGGGAATTGTGGAAGAAATGTAATATGTTCTATATGTTGGCATTTTCTTATTCATAGAATCTTAGAGACACAATGATTTAAGTGGACATGGAAATCTCTGCTGAAATTGTTTGAATGTTATTTTCAATGTAAAACAAGTATCAACAGATGCGTCACTATCAAACACCCAATCAGGGCAGCACAGACTCATGAAACAAGCTTTACAAAGTGAAATAATTCCACAGCCTTGTCCCTGAAAAGAGCAGTTGAGTTGTGCATCAGTGTGATCATTTAGGCTTGTCATCATGAGGATTGATTCGATCTTTGTGCTGTTATCAGGTGAGTTTCACTGACTTTGGAAATTATCAGTTTCCCCAAAATGTTAAAAATGGGAGCATACATCAGACATTATCATATTGTAAAATATTATTAACGATATTGCATAGATTATTAGATGCATAGCCATCGCAAGGGCTGTGCCATCGACCACACAAGGCCTCGCGCCAAAATAAAGTGACAAGTGACTTGATGATGTAAAGCCAAAAGTTTTAAAGTTTATATGTTTGTCCTTTGAAAGATGATAATGGCTAAAAGCTAGAGCTAATAGTGAGACTGTGTATCATGATGCTGTATTATTCTGCTTGTTAAAAATGTATAATGCAGTACAACTGCTACTTTTCAGGAAATGGAAAGACACTTTAAAATAATGAATCTGTTGTCAAAGTTGATATAGTGGCTTTATCTATGGTCAGACACCTGCATTTGTCATTATATTATAAACATTTCACCAAAATCAAGTTTAGTTACAAAGTTTTTGACCATCGGACATCTGAGGCACTAAGTGCGTTGCATTAATTTCATCAAGTGCTTTTTGATGTTTTCAACAACATTATAAGTGTTTATTTTATTCCACTTTCTCCATTTGTGTCTGTAGATTTGAATTATAAAACACATCTTTAAAGGCTGAGTTTTTTCTCCACTTCAGTAACACTTACATGCACCAAAATTTACAGGTTTATTCCCATCTATATTCTGAAGGTTTTTACTGAGGGGTTTGTTCATATATCATTCGTAGACATGTTATACCTATAAAAATGGTGAAAAATTTGTTTTCAGTCTGTTGACAGTATTTCCTGATTTATGGAGCGATAAATAGATCCCTTCTTTAAAAACCTTTAACTCTAATCTCAACAAAATCAAACAAGAATATTGGCCCTGGCTTTATCCAATCTTCAGATTTATGTTCTGGAAATCTATGGAAACTAGCACATATTTAATTAGATAATGCATGTATTTAATCAAAACTTTTGAGGAAATTTGTATATAAGTCATAGACAGTATATATACACATACACACACACATATATATATATATATATATATATATATATATATATATATATATATATATATAATTTAATTCTTAATGTAATCAATCAACTAGGTAATTATCTATTGTTTTTTTTACCCTGTTCACCTGGGGTGTCTTGCCTTAAAATGTAAAAAATACTTCAATATTATTTGACATGAATTTGATATTTTGGATTTATAAATTAAATGTCATTAAAACAAATGAATGTTTCTCCACAGCTCTGAGCGCATGTGTGAACCCTCATGTGTTTTACTTTTTTCCTGGAAACGTGACCTGGCCCGAGGCTCAGAAATACTGCAGACAGAATCACTCAGATCTCGCCACCGTTGACGACCAGACGGATTATGATGAGCTCTTAAAAACTGTACCCGGAGATTTTAAAGGAGAAATGTGGATTGGACTCTATCGTGAGAATGCGAACGCTCCCTGGATCTGGTCCGATCAGAGCAAATCCACGTTCAGATTGTGGGGTAGCGGACAGCCGAACAACTATCTTGGCCACCAGTTCTGTATGGGAACATCTCTTGCTGGACAGTGGAATGATTTGGATTGTCCAGATAAAAAAGCTTTTATCTGCTACACTGGTGAGGTTTTATAAGGTACATTTCAAAACATTAAAAATGTCTACTCTACCCAAAATACTTTCTTTGGAACTTCCTGTGACATTATTAATGAATTTGTTTATCATTTGCTTATTATAGCACCACCTATAGAAGGATGGAAGTGTGTGTGAATGTCTGAGTAGTTCATCATCCATAAACCCCTAAAAATAAAATATTCAGAAAGGATTCAAAATCCCACAAATATTGTGAAAACAGCAGATCCTTTGCTCTTTTAAAATGTTAGACTTTTAAGATCCTGTAACTTAGATTATACACACAATATTGAAGGTTGCTATTTTTGCTGTACGCATATATATATTACATTTGATTATATTTTTCTCAGAGTATACTGCATGTGTCTCTCACAGTGAAGAAGAGAAACGTAGTAAGACTGGAGGTGAAATCAAATCAACACGTGAATGATCCTTCGGTGAAGGCAGAGATTCTGGTGAAGGCGAGTTCATAATGTACAGTTTGTTGAAAGTCTACTGATAGCGGAATAACTTGCCTAGAGTAATACAAGTGTGTTTGTGTTCTTCAGATACAGCAGATACTGAAGGAGAAGGGACTGACAGAAGATGCAAAACTGTTGTGGAAAATTCAATCCGATGGAAATGTCTTCCAGAAGAACCGGAAGAGTGACGCCACTCAACAGACTTGCCTTTGATAAGTGAAGAAATAAAACTTTATTGTGCGATTGTGTTTATGAAAGTTTATTACCACATCTTTAAGCA